AAAAAAAGTTTTTATTTATATAATATATATATATACATATATATATATATATATATATATATATATATATATATATATATATATATATAGTATATATATAATTTTAAAAATACTTAAAATTTAAATGACTCGAAATATATGTATTTTATTACGTATTATTTATAATTATTGGACAAATAATTACTATATTGAAACATTGAACACGTTCAAAGTGAAAAATATAAAATATTAAGAACCTTAGAATGAATTTATAAGAATTGTAAAATATGCGGTTATACTATAAATTATAATTATAAATCTAGCTAAGTCACCTTAGAGTAATTCAAAGATCACTCTAGGGTAATTTCTAAAGTAACGTCAAGTAACTCCAAAGAGAACTCACGATTATTTTAAAAAGATAATCTTTAAAAAAAAAATACGCGTAAACAAAATAAATATACGCGTTCAATTGCTGATCAAATGTGATCAAATGTGGGATAAATTATTTTACAAATAGTGATCATCTTTCACAATGAACCTTCAATGATTCTTCAATGATTCTTCAATGATTCTTCAATGAGCGCATTAATTAATCTAGGAAAAACAAGTATGTACATAGGTACGTACGTACTACTTACGTACATAATACTTGGTGCAGAGAAAAGGGACCAAATTTACAAAAAAAAGGTTTGTAGAAAATTGATTTTTATATTATAAATTCAATATATATATATATAATAATACAAACTTAAAAAGAAATCTTATTAAGATAATAACAGTATTTGTTCTCCTCAGCCAATTTTGGATTAGTTAAGCTAAAAAAAAAAAAGATTTTTGAAAAAATTGGTAATTTAGTCCCTTTTCTCAGAATCTAGCCCATATATTTGATATACAGTATATATTTATTGATAATACTGTATACGTATACGTACTTAACAGTTAAGTACAGAAGTACCTACTACTACGTAACAGTACGTACGTACGTTATATACGTACTTGGGTACAATATCAATATTATTGATATTAATCCCTACGTTATCACATGCTTTGATTTTGGATACGTACGTACGTACGTATGTACTGTACGTACACTAAGTCAGTAAGTTATTGTAAAGCATATAAATTGATATATAAATAAAAATATATATCTACTGCATATGCGTATAAATATATATAAGGTTAATGTGTGATTATAATGTAAGAATATGGAGAAGTAGAAAAGAATGACGATCTAGGTGATTACGCATGAAAGTTTAAAATTTATGCTGAATATATGGATTTTTTGTCCACGTGCATTTTTTTTTGTTATGAAAAAAAAGTTATACGTACGTACGTACAGTACCAAGTACGTTACGTTACGTACGTACGTACGTAAAGTACTGTACGTTACGGAATTTTTTATACCAAAGTTTAGTTTAAAAAAAAAAGAACGTGAAAAGTATTTTTTTTAATATTTAATACTTGAATAATGATAAATAATTTTTTTTTCTTGAAATTTCTTGAAAATTAAAATGTCAATCGTATTGAGATAAAAAAAAAATTATTAGATAATCAACAAAGAAATTAAAATCACCTGAGAATGAGAAAAAAAAAAATACTTTGAGCGAGAAATTACAAGAAATTATAATAAGGCGGAATAAATAATCCGAAAAAAAAAATCTATTTTGTTTTACAATTTAGACATTGTTTTAAATTTCGTCACGATATAGTCGATATAGTAAGATAGGGAAGTTAGAACAATTTCTAATAATTTCCTTCATTTCTTTTCGATTACCATTTTAATATTCAGCGCAGTTAATTATCCGCATTCATCCGACATAGAATTTTCTAAATTGGGTCTACCGTTTAGTTGTTTCGTTGATTGGGTGATTTACAAAATTGAAACAAAAGCCTCAATTTATAATGAACCCCAATTTTTTGTTTAAATAACCGTGAAATCGACGTACATCACTTTTCCTCTGTCACTATAACTCTTTCACCGCTTTATTATTATTATTATTATCTTTTTTTTTTTTTTTTTTGTGAGTCTATCATTTTTTTATTTATGAGTTTAGTAATCGGGAAAATATTTCATTTTTATTGGTAATCTTGATATAACATTAAATCATAAACATCATTGATTCTGTTGGAATATATATATTTTTATTTTTTTTTATTTTATATATATTAAAAGAAGTAAATGAAAGGTGATTAAAAGAGAAAAGTAAAGTGAAAAAAAGAAATAAGATTGAAACAAGACGATTGAAACAAGATTTAAGAAGATTAAAAGAAGATTATAAAAAAAAAAAGATTAATTAAAAAGAAGCAAATTTTAAGCAAGAAAGAAAGAATATGGCACCAAAAAAAATAACCAAAAAAATTAATACGAAAATATATTCAATAACAAAAGCCGAATTTCTTTCAGGACAAAATATAGAAAATATGACACATTTATCAAGTAATACACCAGAAATATATTCCACGAATGATAAAGTTTTAAATACAAATGAAATATTTAAATATCCGAAAGCAAATGAAGATTTCAACTGGAAACAATCATTTAATATGTCACCAGTACTGACCGTGTTCCCGGAATCATGTTCCGATAATGATGACAATAACACGACAACTACCAACTCGTATCCCGTGACACCGACTACATTAGCGGCATCACCGGTATCATTTACACTCGTTCAACATTATGAAGACGTAAATAATTTTAAGCACGAAAATCATGAAAATAGTCGACCTATAACACCACCACTTGAAAAAGAACAAGCAACGAAAACTAGCAATCCAAGCAAAAGGCGCAGTAAAAGAACACGAGAAGAATACCTCGCGAAATTTAAATTACCAATTAATGGAATTGCAACTAGGACACGAAATCGAACGCAAAATACTGCTGCGGTTGAACAACAACAACAACAACAAGGGAATGAAGAAAATTTTAGACAACAATATACCCTTGGTTATTTCCTCGAACGAGCCGCACCAATTCCGGAACTTTATTCCGGATTTATTGATGATAATTTATGTAGGCCCATAAAAAGGATATGCATAGGATCGTACGGACCTAGCCGAGCAAACACGGAGGAAGCCGATGAACACGTGAGAGATCGACCAAATATGTTAAATGATAACGACAATGGCAAGCACCATAAAGATCATAAAGATTATAAAGATTATAAAGATCATAAAGATAATAAAGATCATAAAGATAATAAAGATAATAAAAATGGTAACAACAATAGCGATTACAATAACGACTACAATAATGATTACAATAAAGATGATAAAAAGAATCAAGATAAAGATAACCATAAAGATAACGATGATAAAGATAAAGAAGATCAAATTACCGCAGTTAGTAGTACGACAGGAGTAGTGAAAAGTAAGAATCCTAATTATCCGATTCCAATATCTAAAGAAGAAGTAAGAAAAAAATGGAGTACGGATAATCAAAAAATATTCCTTGCAACATATTTATGCAATGGAAAAGATTTTGCTGGTATTGCACAAAAAACCGGAAAAAAATCTACCGAAGTGGTAGAATATTATTATATGTTTAAACATAACAAGGATTTTAGAGCAGCTAAAGAAATGATGAGAGAAAATCAAGCATATGAAGAATACCTTGGATCAATCGAAGCGGAAATGAAAGCTATGGAAAAAATGGCTCAATCTTATGCACCAAAATTTTCTGGTAAGAAGAAAGGTGTACCCGGACGACCGAAAAGATCAAACGGAAAATCAAAATCCAAAAAATAACTTTCTTTTTTTTTGTATTTAGCTTTTTTTTTTTTTGTATATTTTGTCTTAACATTGTTTTACATTGTTTGAAACATTTTTCTTTTATTACTTTTATTACTTTTATTGCCTTTTATTACTTTTTATTACCTTTATTACTTTTTATTACTTTTTATTGCTTTTTATTGCTTTATTAGCTAACATTTTTCTTTTTATTAGCTAGCATAGGTTTTTTTCTTGCTCGTTTTTTTAACTGCATTTTGTTTTTTTTTCTTTTATTTGTAAAAATTTTTTTTTTCTTTTTTTTTTAAAAAAAAAAATACCAATTAATATATGCAATACCTTGTTTTTCTCATCTCTCATTAATAAGAAAAGGTAAAAATTTATTCCATGCATCATAAAACTGTGCTTTTCTTCAAATTCTGTTTCCTGGTCTTCAGTTGATATCAATTCGGCCGGAATAATAGATTTTAATCGAAGAATCGTAGGAAAAAACCCTTCGATCAAATATGGACTTGCAAAAACGGATTTAGCTGGCTTGTATTGATTAATAAGTTAAATTTTAGCCAGTGAGGGAAGGTAAGAATTTAATCGATCCCAAAGTTCTTTCATGTCCCTTTGGACACCAGATTATTTTCAGATTTTTGTTCAATTTGGCTCAGCTTAATTTAACATTTGCCCAATTAGTCCACTGAGTCAATAAATTAGAATCCGTAGACGCTCAAAAGAACTTTTAGACCAATTAACACTCCTAAGGCAATTTAGCACAGTACGTACTTCATCGTCAGACTTTCTAGCATATGCTTGGTCCAAGCGCTGAGCAACGTTCTCTTTCAATATACCAATTGCAGCACTTTTCATCTGCTCAAACGGACTATTTGTTAATAATTGTTGCAATAAAAACATTCTGGCATCATCTGTACACAATGCAATAATTCGAGATAATAATTGATGCGCGTTGAAACGCAACGTTTCTTCGGATGAAGTTGATGCAAAAGAGGAAATCATCTAAAAATGTCTTAGAATGAGGATTTATTTATAAACATAGTTTAATGGAAATTGTGAATTAGTACCGTGAACAATGAACCTAAGGTTATTTCATCCTTTGACAAGTTTGCAGTCAAGTGCAGCATTGTGATGGTACTTTCTTCATTCCTCTCAGCCAAATAAAGTAACACCAGTAACGTCTTGTCAGTTATTTCGTTCTCTTGAGAGTGTCTTTAGAAAATAAATATAAATAGCAATTATTCATAATATTGTAATATCAAATTATTGTGAAATGTGGAGATATATTTTATAATGATCTTACTTTAAAAACACTATAGAAGCAATAGGGATTATTTCCTTAAACATGTTTTCTGGCGATTCTGAAAATATATTTTTGAGAGTGTTCGATCCTTCAAGTGCCATGGACTTATAATATATTACAGATGCTAAATACGAAATTACTCCTCTTTGTGAAATAGGATATTCAGAAGTGTCGAACTTATGTTTGGAAATCTCTTTATTTTCGAACATAGAGTCAATATATTCCGGCGTTACTTCCTGGTCGTCATCTTTCACATGATCTTTACTGTCTTAGTTATACATAACATTTTAGATGATAAATATCGAATAATTGTTAATTTAAGGCGAGCAATATTGTAAGTTACCAGTAACATTTTTGCTCATCTGGATAATATAATTCACTAATTGGTCACTGGAAATGCGAGATTTGACAGCGACACGCTAAAAAGAAAGTCAATTAATATACAAACTAAATTTAAAATTGTGATAGAAAATTACTCACGATTAATCTGCCTAATCGCTGTTGATCAATCAACCTAACATTATCATTTTGTTTTTGTTTCCATGGAACATTGAATTTTGGGTGAAAAGTTTCGTAATAAATAGATGACATTGGTATATGAAAGGATCGACAAAATTCTTCAAAGGATTGCACAATTAAATAATTGATCAAAAAAAACTCTTGGTCGGGTATATCATCTGGTGCAATGCTAAGTTTAAGGTCCTACAAAACGAATTGTGGGAAAAATCAACCGGGTGAAAATGCAGTCTATGACCTAATAATTACTAACCTTGCTATCAAGGTTAATTATTTGCACTGCAAATTCTGTGAATCCGATTAGACATTCAGTGACAAGATCTAAATTTTTGTTTTTTAAAATTTCTAATGTTTGCCATGCTCTAACAATATATTGGAGGGTTTCAGCTAAAAATTTTGAAAAAATTTTTGGGCGAAGTTTCTGGAAAGACCTCTGAAATACTATCAGACAGAATTAATATCTATGAAGTTTAAAACTACGAGCACCAATTTAAGATGCAACACCTATTCTGAGAATCTTTATCAATCCGATAAATTCAGATACAAAACTTTCTGAATCTTTCCAATCAAGTAAGCTAAATCTCTCAAAAAGTATCACATGAATGTCCCGAACATTAAGCTGAGCCATGACATCAACAATTTCTTGAACTATAAGTGATGTTGATTCATATGATGACAAGAACGGCACTATCAAAGAAAAAATTTTCCAGGAAAATGTATCCATAAGTTTAATCTATTAAATATTTTTTAATCACGATGTTAGAAGTTGATCTATGGCAAATTATAGAAAAATGACATCCTGCCTTTTGTTCTTCATCTTTTAAAGGAACTGTGACATCTTTTATACAATTTAACAATTCAATCTGTTCCTGTTCAATATAAGATGTAGGATTAGATAAATATTCATCCAGGATGTCCTCAAATGCGATATACGCTTTGTTATCCATTGGATCTTGCGCGACTTTCTTTGATCAAAAAAAGATAAAATTAATAAATTATCTAGCCAATAAAAACTTTTTTAATTAGTATACCTCAAGATATTGTGCCGCGCCTCGTTCAATTGTCTCCTTAGCTTTTTGAAGACGAGACATTTTAAATTTTTGAAATACGATACTGAAAAATTTTATCTGTCATGGGACATTTCCTTTTTAATAAACAGTAAATCGATTTTGTGTAACATACGTGACTTTCGAGTAGTAATAAAACGCTGGGTTTTTGGGTTTGCATTTTTAGAGGTAGAGACAAAAGAGCATTTCAAGAGATCTTAATGGTACAAGAGTGTATTAATTGTGGTTTTTGGATATATCTATTTAGAAACATTCATTAATAAGATCAATTAACGTAATTTAACGCGCCTGTGTGTTTTATCACTATGTTGTATTATCTCAAAAACTGGCTAATTAATCGATATGAGGTGTTTCCAAATAAAAATGCTCTACGCCTCCAAAAACCCGTTCCAAACTTTAATTCTAATCCTAAATATTAATACTAACAGAAAACATATAAGATGCGTTTTATTAGAAATTATTTATTATAAAATGCACCTCGGCTATCATGTTTTATGGACTTTTTTCTGAGTTTTGTATATAAATTTTTATCGCAAAATTTTTCATGTTAGAGTTAGTATTTAGGGTTAGAACTAAGGTTTGGGAAAGGTCTTCGGGGGGAGTAGAGCATTTTTACTTAGAATATCCTGCAATGATTAATTTGTCAGTTTTTGAGATAATGTATTCATAGGTGTAAAATACCATAGGTGCGTCTTAGTAAAAGCTTTAAAATAGTCAGACCTATACTTGCCGGACAAACTCTTAGAATTTGGGATTTTTCAATGGAAACCAGAACGAATGGGATTGTCCATTATACACATCAAATCATAGTCAGTACCATATATAATTGGCACTATGATCATTTTATTGAAAAAAATTCACCATAATAAAAATCGTGTATCTTTAAAATGTTCTAACTCCTGCTTCAGTAAAGCAAATTCAATTTTGTAACTTGCGAATAGTGTAGTTTTAAACTATGTTAAGATATTTTTTAATTTATTTTATTAATATATATAGTTAAAAAACCAAATATTTTCTTAATTACAAATTTAAATAGTAAAATGTTTATAATTTAAAAGTTTAAACTATAGAAACCCAAAATATTTACATATTATTTTTAAATGTCTCAACATAGTTTTATAACTATACTACTGTATTTATATATTGTTTGCAAGTTATAGAATTGAATTTGCTTTATTAGAGCAGAAATTATAATTTTTTTTTTTTTTTACTTTAGTAATTCTATTTTTATTTTATAAATCAGCAGTAAATTACAGTAAGAATTCAGTTGGCTAAACCTACCATCTAACTATTCATTACTATATGCCTGTTCAAATAAAAATTTTTTTGATCTATCTCATTATTACAGTAATATTACAGTTACCTGCAATTTTACATTAAAGTATGACCCAGGAGTGACTCATCTAAGTGAACAATTTTCCTCCTCCTAGAATTCTCAACTTTCTGAAAATATAAGCTCTAGATACTAACAGATGGTTTTTACTAACCTTGTCAGAATCACTGCTCTACAATAGAGTGTCGTTAATTTAATGATATTTTTTTATAAAGAAGTAAAAAAGAAAAAAAAAAAGGTATATGGAAAATACGAGAATAGAGTAAAAAATAAACA